TACAATGAACACACAAAATCGAGCTAGTTGATTTTTAGTTTTATCTGGTAAAGCAAAATCATGCCGAAGAATAAACATTTTCAAAGAATAAATTATTTTGACCATCCACCTTGCATTGTGGAACGCACCAGGAGCTCTTATTTGTAATTTTTCATCGATTTTTCCACCCAAATATAAAATGGCAAGTTGTAGAACCTCACGGTAATCACCACGGTGGTGTTGCTCTCTAATTTGTTTTTCATAAAACTCCAATAACGCCAATCTTTCTATTTCCGAAATAGCTATTTTAAAAAAAAATCATCATCCATACCTGAGTGGTATGAAATCTTTTCCCAAAATGTGCCATTTGATTGGAATTCCTTAAAAATCTCAACATTTGGAGACTTTGACGTTTCAAATTTCAGAATTTTAAAAGCTTTTGCCAAGTAGCAGTTCATGTATGTGGTGCTTACAAGGGAGGCCTATTTATAAGCTACCTCTTAAACAATTTGTCCAGGTACTGACACGCACCTTTTTTTCTACCGGTGTTTGATGCAGTAGTATCAAAAGATGTAAACATAATTCTGAAAACAAACGATAAAATAGTCTGAATTTTGAGGTGAACATACAAGATTTAAGATCATACCTGTCCGCAAGCCCCCATTCGAAGACTGCATTGTACACCGCTTCTGCTTGTTGTGCCCCCGTAGAGTTTTCGATGGGTGGAACAGCCAATAATTTGCTAATGCCTTCGCCTGATACAACTATGGCCAAGCGCTCGGTTTTTGGTAGAGCTTTGGATGGTAATATGTTAGGTAGCAGCTTAGAATCCCAATGTACTGTTAAATTTATATCTGGCTTAAACGACGCTTTCAGATCATGTTGCATTTGTAAGTGAATTCCTGCTGTGGCGATTCTGACAGATTCCTTGTTCAACAATAATGATGAAACATCGTGCCTAAAGCTTTAGCGATCGATGATATTAGAAACACAGCATTTCGATCACTCACTTTACAGCGGTCCAATGCAGCAGCTACCTCAACTGTAACAACTCGTATCAGTTGCGATTTACGTGTCAAAGCTGGTTTTGGAGAACCTAGAATGTTCAAAATATATTAATATGGATGGTAATAGGTGTATAATCTAGAAGAAAAAAAAACATTAGTAAAACATCACAACGTACCTGTTTTGGAGAAGCTGTTTCGGATGTACTAGGCGAGTACACTGACCCAGCCTGGCTGTCGTTTTGTGATGATGTTTCAATTGAGGTTACACTACAAATTTGATCCGGTCTTTGGCTTGACCCTTCTTCCTCAAAATCGCTACCCGAAATGGTTTCATTGGTAGGGAGAACCTCAGTTTCTTCTTCAAGATGAGCTTGTTCCCGCTGTTTTTGCAAATATTTGCATCGCCTGCTTTTCTTCACGGGTTTTGCCTTAAAATTCTTCCCGATATCAAACAAACTCCTCAATGATCCATGAAATGTGTTCCTTTTTTCGACGTCTTTATTAGCCATTCTAAGTTTGCATTTTAATAAGGCTTTCCAGGTATTGAAAAATAGCAACAGTTTTTTCTTTATGCTTATGTCATTTACCAGATGTGTTAAGTTTTTTTTTCTTCTTCCAAGCATCCTTTATTGTTAGGAAGGCACTAAGCTTACAACTTTTTTTTTTCAGCACGCAAATGAAACATATAGTCTAGTCTATCTAGGTCTAGTCTAGTCTACTCATACACAGCCAGTACTTGAAAGAATTCTGGAAAATGATACATCTATCATTTTTCTTGTCATTATTTATGCCTGCTGCACATCAAGGATGTGAAACAAACAATAAAGCGGCCAGGCCTACTGTGTAGCGTTTAGTTAATTTTTGTGGAAGTGAATGTTTACCATGTCTACTTAATAAGTATAGACAGTGGTTAACATTTAATCCACAGGTAATCAAAGAGCGGGGACATACCGTACCAACCGCTCCGTATGCAGGATTTGAAAATACGCTATATAAATCGTTGGGAGTGACAGAGCTAAGAAAGTTAATGTACACTCCTTGGTTGTCCGATCTCCTGGGGATGGAACACAGGTATTTACCCCTTGTGTTCGAGCGTACAGTCCTCCCTCCGTACAAGCGTGGACGGCACCGCCCACCCACTGCCATCCCTCAATCGATCCAGCCGACCTGAGTCGAAGGACAACAGAGAGCGGTGTGCGGACGTAACCTATACGGAGGGAATGCTGTATTCGCCTAGGTTATAGCGCCCTTGCTCGCTATTCGTTATTCGCTGTCTACAATAAGAAGAAACAATGCATGAAATTTATAGTGAGTAATTTTAATGAATATATATATATATATATATATATATATATATATATATATATATATATATATATATATATTGACTTAAATTGATATATATATATATATATATATATATATATATATATATTATATTAGCCTTCTCGATTGAATGCGCATGTTTAAACAACGTTGATCCAGGTACCTATCATATAAATTTGCATATAATCTAGTTATGATTATTGTCAATAATACTTACATTTCGATAAAGATGATGCTGCCTACTTTACCTGTTATGTGATACTTATCATCACAGAGTCCAACCTTGAATTGCAGACCAGGTCCACTAACAAAGCACTCGTTCCGAGAAGGGGTTTATGGTCTTCTTCTTCTTCTTCTTCTTCTTCTTCAGGTTCGCTCACCACCCGGAATGAAGGCTCGGTGCGGTTAGTAATATCAAACAGTGTTACATGCAAACGAAAAAACGAAAAAGAGATACAACCAGGATTAGTTTTTTAAAGTAATAGTTTCATCTGAATACCCAAGTAACCATATCTCAGTGACATTGTACCACTCTGAACCCACACCTAAAGCTATTTTGTGATTATATGGTTACTTTGGTAATTCACATGAAATGTCGTGCAAGTACCAGAGGTTCAACAACGCCCAACTATGGACAGCTCAATGTTAATACCATTTACTCTTTGAATCAGCTTACACCAACATGATAATCTACTAAGAAACATCTAAGAATGTATAGAGATAAAGTTCAAAAATACAGTTTTAACTGATGGTACTTTATAAACGTCAAACTGTTCAATATTGGACCCTGCCAACACACGGCGTCAGCACGGCAATGTGGGCCGTCAGAATGGTTCATCGGTTGCGAAGTGAAGTGCTTCTTAAACTGAAGCGATACATTTCTCAATGTTTCAACGTTATCCTAACGTAAACTTAATATTATCACCCATATGCCTGTCCACGCCCGAAACCCATCCACCACACAAAATCAAATAAAAATGTTTCCTGTATGGCAAACACGTCCAGACATAAACGAGAATATGGGTGTATATCTTCACTGTAACAACTACGGGTAATCATCGAAAATACTTGCATTTTACTCAGGCACTTTTGAGCAAACTGCAATCACTCTCTCATACTCGTAATGTGCCACGACCAAATTGGCACAACGAACGCCCTATACGCTCTCTGACCAAAGCGCAGGGCAGCACGCAAATGAAACATATATTTACGAAAAACTTCACTATACGTCGGCAAGTTAACAGAATGGCCGAACAACGGCAGATATTCTCCAACTAGCCAAATGTCAACCATTTTTAACAAACTGTCGTACTATTCTCTATCAGTTCTCTGCTTGTTGTCTTCTTCAAACGCACTACTGATTGATCATACATCATACATTTTCAGATCGCATCCTTTTTTATACTAAAGCATAGGTAGAAAAAGCCAAGGTAAAAAAGTTTACGTAGAAATAAGTACTTGAGACCGTTGCTTGCCTGTAGGAGAACACTGTTAGTGTGTGTTTTTTTAATTAAAACCCAAAAGGAAGCCAGATAAACAATATGCTTTATGCGGGTACTTTTTTGGCACCTCTATAGGGTAGGAATTTAAAAGAAACACATATAAAGGGTTGTCCCGTATTAGGTGGATATGTTAAAAAATCATTGTACTTTCGTCAGATTGTACTGTAAACTAAACAGCACTAACGGTTGTCCTGTACAATTTTCGGAATTAACCTACGATTTATGTCTGTCTATGCTTCTATTTTACGTGGTCTCAGATACTAAAAAGTAATATCATCAAATGTTTTGAAGTTTGGATTCTTAAAAATTCCAAAACACAACATGATGATATTTTCAGATATGTACATGCGTTTGGTAAAAAGTAATGGTTTTTACATACCTATTTTGATTTTTGGACCACCCTAGTGAATTATTTCGTATAAGGTCCTAAATGGTGGTTTAATTCGATATATAAGCAGGTTGGAGACAATTGTGAACATATATCACTCGCCAGCTGGCAAGATCTTAAAACTAAAAACCCCTTTTTTTTATCTAATTAGGGGATATGGATGTAATGTCGGCCCAAATGTCCCTAATAATTCAGTAAACGACTAAATTTTCAATAGCGACCAAAAATATCCATTAGTCCCGTCCCAATGACGCGTTCATCTAGATAACATTGATAGCAGATTTTTAGCGATGGGTCCAATCTTAGATCCATTGGCCAACATTAGAGACATTTCCCCTATACCAAAACAACTAAGGCTGGTCAGTTAGCGTAATTAGGTTAAAATAAAATGTAATTTATTTTGAATTTAGAATTTTTTTTTTTTTAAATCAGTAGATAAATGTTAACAGACAAACACGTCAAATGTGTGCCTGACGCTGAGAAAATGTAAATAAAAGCGTGAACGCTTGATACATTGACGACAATACTTAAATTCCCCTACCTATTTGGGACCCGTTGATTATCATGTTCCAATTCCTAAAAGTTGTTTTGTTTCTTCGGACAGTCAGGCAAGCCTATCCCATTCACTGAAAGGTCGTAAGGGTCTTAAATCGGTAATGGCCCTATGTCACCATATCGATACATAATATAGCAAGTGGAGTAGACTTTTTGTTGTTTTCATTATTTTTAACTATACTATATATTCACTATTATCAACAGTTTCCGTATGATCCGATTGCATCAAACTTTTATGCACAACCTTATCCTCCTCACCCATGTGGTTTCGCTGCACCTGGAACATACCCTTGTCACTACTATGGACCATTGAATCAAGTAATCAATGCAACGATGACTCCTAATATTTGTAATCAGTTTATTGTTTTTCCATTGATGATACAACATAATAACAATGTTTAAATCGTTTTAGCTTTACCCAACACGCGATATATCGACGGAGTACCGAACTTCAATGCCGCTTTAAGTATGGTTCTAAACGGCAGTGATTTACCAAGTAAATACTCCTGCTAATCAGATTAGTATCCGATTTTTATACTTGCTTTGTTTTAGTGAATGACCTTGTGACCTTGAGATATTTTTATAACCTCGGAATTGATTACTTTCGTCAAAACCAATTTCGCATGCTACCACCACCCGTCCCTCTCGGTCTGGAAATCGGGAATGCAATCGGTTCTATGCAGTGCCCGATTAATGAAGCAAATGATGTTAGAGATCTCGTAAATGAACTTGAAAACAAATTTAATATTTCTTCAAATTCTGATCCTAATTCCAATAATCTAAGACAGCGGGGAACGGCATGTACAGCGATCAAAAATGAAAATTATGTTTCCAAAAGCAAAAATACATGTACAACGAAACATTTCAAGAAAATACCCGAACAAAAAAACTTCAGGTCTCGATCGACTCAGGTATATTATTCCAGTGTATCACCAATAGATTGCAATAAAACAGCAACTGTGAATAACAATGAAAGCTCCAATTCCCAGGTACACATAGAGATTGTACGACATTTTACAGAAAGTCATTTCGCGATGTGCCATATTAGAATGCCGCATTTCGCGGAATGCTCCATTTTACGGAATTGTTTGAAATTAATTTCATTGATAACACGGTGCATAAAGATTGCATATAACATGGGGCAGTTATGCGTATAACGGCAGATTACTAGTACAGGAAAACTCGAAAGAATTACCTGAGGTGCCCGTTCACCGCTCGACCTCCATTCATCGCTCATTTTTCATTTTTGTTGAAAAAGAACACAAAATGAGTTCTAAACATCTCACTCGTTTAACATGCCTGTGGTACTTTTAGTTCACTATTTATTGTTGAAAAAACATACTTTTGTTTACATTCAATGAGCGGTGAATGGAGACCCAATAACGATCAAGGGTTCCCTTCACCGGTCACTACAAAAAATAAACTTAAAATAGACATTACAACCAATATTTCATAACAATATCTAATACATTAATAACATACAAGCTATATATAATGCGTTAAATGGCTAGACAAGATATACAATTAAAAAATTAGATATTTTCATTGATCAATTCCAGGTCAAATAGGATAAAAAATTAAACTCGAGCTTCTCCGATTTGCATGAAACTTTAGCCGTTTCAAAATGGCATTTTAGACATTTTTCAATAAAAATAAAACGTCACTTCTGATCAAAATGACGTCTAAAACAAAGAAAAACAATTCTGTGAAAAATATACACGGTACATTTTTTGTGTGCTACAATCTATTGAAAAATTACAACATCCAAAATGGTCGAATTTTTATAAAAATGTGAATGATTGCCTATAATACACAATTGTGTGTGTGTGTGTATGACGCTGAGAAAATGCTAATAGAAGCACGGACTATGCTAAGATTGATGAGAATATGTGAATTCCCCTATTGAATTCAAATTCCGCATTCCACATTCAAAGCCAGAAACTCACAAGTTTCCCAATATTCGGAATTATAAATAAGAAAGTACTGCTTATGGAAAATTCTTCTAGATTTTTAATAATATCAAATGCTCTGCCAAAAGTGATTCTGCGATACGGGTTATTTATTCCGCCAAATGGAACTCCGCGGAATGGATTTCCGTGAAATGTCGTACAACCCATACAGACAATAGAGGTATTCAAATAGTTAGGCTAGATGTATCAGATATGGCTATACGTTTCTGTTATGGTGTGTTCCAATTTCCAATTATGACCTAGTTGGAATTCCCATTTGCCATAAGTGGAACACACCATAATAAGAACGTATATCCACCCTATACTGTCGTAAACATATCAGGTTCCATGGAAGTTTACGCATTTAGGTACGAGGGTTTACGCGTATACGATGCGCTATATGAATACTACACACTCTGTAGTACGGTATAGTAAACACAGACTGGCGAATACAAATTATATGAAACTAGCAGCATCGATATGGGAGCATGCATTAAGTACGTCACACGAAATTTAGAGAAATACAAGCTGCCTCCCTCGTTTCATCACGTTTTATATCTAATGCATTTGTAAACCCTCTCCCACCCCCTCCCCTCTTCCCCTTTACAGTGTGACATTCTTTGATGCCCCTATGTTTGAATTCAGTACAAGCAACACTTGCAAGTGTTTACACATAGAATGACTCCTTTTTTCTCCGTTATTCCTGTGTAATAATAATTTTTTAAGCATAGAACAAGCTAAAAAAAATAAGCATAAAACAATTTGACACTCGGTTAAAATTACACTTAATTCTGTGTTTACGCGTTTTTTTCGCCCCTATTTTTGATCTAGTAATCTAAAATTGCAACTAAATTGAATTTAACTTGTTTCAAAATATCACAAAAAAAAACAAAGTTTTCTTTGGTGGTATAAAAAAAATTCTGTACACATCCTACATGAAGGCAAAATCGAAAAAAAAATGGAAAGTCGCGTTTAAACAGAATTGAGTGTACGTTTTTATTCAAAAGTTGCTGTTATAATTATTCACACATGTGAAAACTATTTTAGGTTGTTAGTCCATTCAAGTACTCCATAAAATCACATTTAAAACACCCTCCATATTTAAAGTTATTGTTTAAAAAATTGATACGCATACTATCATGAATAACATAATCATTTTTCAATAGATTTTTGGTTTGAAGTCAGCTTTTGAAATATATACACATTATGGTGATTTTATTGGAATTCGTTCCGATGTTTCTAATTAAATAACAAACAAATCGTATTTTAATAAAAACTTAAGACGCCATTAGGGTGACCAAAACATGACCCTCCCTCCTTGCCATATTGCCACTTGTTTTCTATGCAATTCTGAGGCTTTGTTCAAAATTTGACCCAAATCGGTCAACATTTACCTTTTTGAAGCTTTCTTTTTCCGAAATGTATATAAAAACACCTTTTTCAAAGTTTGGTCGCTAGGTGGCGTTGCCAACGACCCAAAAATTATTAAACCCAATACTCTTATACGAAATTATATGCTCAACAACTTTGTATGTATAAGACCGGAAGACAATCCGAGTTGATCCTGAAATGCTAATAACTTTTCAGGATCAACTCCAATCGTCTTCCAGTCTTCGACGAAGATCATATAATTTCCTATTATGTATTGGATAACCATTTGGGTCGTTTTCAATGCCACCTAACGACAAAACAGTGAAAATTTTATTTGTTATACATTTTAAACTTCAACTCGAAAAAATAGCTTCAAACGCTGTTGACCAATTTGGCGCAAAATTTGAATTTAGCCTCAGGATTGCAGAGAAAATAATGATACTATTGCGAGGGGGAGGATCATGTTTTATTCACCTCATTCTCGTCTGAAGCTAGAAATAAGCCATTTTTTTCCTTGATTTGTTTTCCGTCGATCTTGTTTTCCGTGCTAAGCACCAATGCTACCGACGCCAAGAAGGCAGCTCCCACACCTGGACCCTACCTATCGATCCTTCAACTCATGAACCGGGGACCAACGGCTTTACTTCCCTTCCGAAGGGAGGCGTGATCAGAGATGTCATGCCTCAGAACATCTCGGCGGCGCCGACTGCGATTGAACCCAGGCCTGCTGTTGTGAGAGGTAATCACGCACCACCGGCGCAGCTGAAAAAAAAAACATCATATGTGTATATATTTCCAAATCTCTGACTTTATGCTTTCCAAAACTGCTTAGAAATCAATAATTGGTTGAGAAATGATTGAGTTACTCTTGATGTTATGCGATCACTAAATCGGTTTGTTTAACAATAACTTAAACATTTTAAAATTATTTATTTTAAAATTTAAAATGTGACTCCATAATGTACTCAACAAGACTAACGATTGTACGACTTTTCCCCGAAAACGCTTTCCCCGAAAGTTTTATCCCCGAATGAACCAGTTCCCCGAAAGGAACGTTTTCCCGAAAACTATTTCCCCAAAAGAACTAGTTCCCCGAAAGATACCATTTACACTGTACGATCTATTTAAATATGATCCCAGGGTTTGTTACAACTTATCTATATGAAATTCAGAAAAATATCTCTGCTGAATACACTCAGGTCTTTTTTTACACGGGATATACGTACCGTGTAAAAAAAACCGTGTCAAAAAAACTTACGAGATTTTGATTTTTCACATGCTTAAATGTTTTTAAAAAATCGGATTTTGATGTCATTTGCAATTAAAGCATGATATGGTCCATATATACATATTTTAAAAATTTCTGTATATACACAAAAAAATGTGATTTTTTTTTTATGTATGCCATTCGATTACCTATAGCTTATTATATATCGTTGTTGAGAAATCGTTAAAAACGTACCGTGTAAATCGTGGAAAACCGTGTAAAAAGAAACCGCGTTAAAAAAACCGTGTAAAAAAAGACTTCAGTGTATTGATAAACAGTACAAAGTCGTTCAACACCCTAGATAAAGTTTGTGGTTATGATTTGTTATGACATTTGGCGACGGCCTTCGTTAAAACCTTGCATTCGTATTTGTTTGACCAGTGTGTAAAGTGTACGAACAAAGTGGTTCCTGTCGAATAATTTCATAATGAAGACTTCGCTAGAAAAACTTTGTAAATATATATAATATACCGCGATATACGATAAAGAAGGGAATATGCTCTTCTTTTAATATATGAAACAGAACATAATTAATTCGTTAAATATATGATAAAGAAGGGAATATTCCCTTCTTTGAAAATATAACAGAAGGAAATAATTAATTCTTTGCATAAACGATAAAGATGGGAATATTCCCTTCTTTTAATATATGAAAGAGAACATGATTAATTCTTTAAATATATGATAAAGAAGGGAATATTCCCTTCTTTGAAAATATAACAAAAGGAAATAATTAATTCTTTGGATATGCAATAAAGAAGGGAATATTCCCTTCTTTGAATACATAAAAGAGAACATCATTGATTCGTTAAATATATAATAAAGGTGGGAATATTCTGTTCTTCGAAAATTTAACAAAAGGAAATCATTAATTCTTTGGATATACGATAAAGAATGGAAAATTCCCTACTTTAAATATGTAAACAATATGAAAAAAGGGAATATTGCCTTATTTGAAAATATAACAAAAAGAAAGAATTAATTATTTGGATATACGATAAAGAAGGGAATATTTCCTTCTTTGAATATATAGAAGAGAACATCATTAATTCGTTAAATAGGGGAAATGCAGGTAATGTCGGCCTAAGTGTCCCTAATTTGGGCCCTTACATAAATTCAGCAATCAACTAAATTTTCAATAGCAACCAAAAATATCCATTAGTAACGTCCCAATAACGCGTTCATCTAGATAAAATTGATAAATAGCAGACTTTTAGCGATGGGCCCAAATTAGGGACATGTAGGCCGACATTACCTACGTTTCCCCTATATGATAAAGAAGGCAATATTCCCTTCTTTGAAAATATAACAAAAGGAAATAATTGATTCTTTGGATATACGATAAAGAAGGGAATATTCCTTTCTTTGAATATATAAAATAGAACATAATTAATTCTTTGGATGTATGATAAAGAAGGGAATATTCCCTTCTTTGAAAATATAACAAAAGTAAATAATTAATTCTTTGGATACACAATAAAGAAAGGAATATTCCTTTCTTTGAATATATAAAAGAAAACATCATTAATTCGCTAAATATATGATAAAGGAGGGAATATTCCCTTCTTTGAAAATATAAGAAAAGGAAATAATTAATTCTTTGGATAAACGATAAAGAAGGGAATATTCCCTTCTTTGAATATATAAAAGAGAAAATAATTCATTCTTTGGATGTATGATAAAGAAGGGAATATTCCCTTCTTTTGATATATAAGGAAAATATATAATCAATAGTTTTTCGCAAGGGTATCGGGGTAATGACCATTTGGGATAATAACGAGTAGAATAATGTTATAAATTTGTAATCGGAACTCAGGTTCCTATCGAATAATTTCATAATGAAGACTTCGCTAGAAAAACTTTGTAAATATATATAATATACCGCGATATACGATAAAGAAGGGAATATGCTCTTCTTTTAATATATGAAACAGAACATAATTAATTCGTTAAATATATGATAATGAAGGGAATATTCCCTTCATTGAAAATATAACAAAAGGAAATAATTAATTCTTTGGATATACAGTAAAGAAGGGAATATTCCCTTCTTTGGATATATAAAAGAGAACATCATTGATTCGTTGAATATATAATAAAGGTGGGAATATTCTGTTCTTTGAAAATTTAAGAAAAGGAAATCATTTATTTTTTGGATATACGATAAAGAATGGAATATTCCCTACTTTAAATATGTAAACAATATGAAAAAGAAGGGAATATTGCCTTCTTTGAAAATATAACAAAAAGAAAGAATTAATTATTTGGATATACGATAAAGAAGGGAATATTTCCTTCTTTGAATATATAGAAGAGAACATCATTAATTTTTTAAATACCTATATGATAAAGAAGGCAATATTCCCTTCTTTGAAAATATAACAAAAGGAAATAATTAATTCTTTGGATAAACGATAAAGAAGGGAATATTCCTTTCTTTGAATATATAAAATAGAACATAATTAATTCTTTGGATGTATGATAAAGAAGGGAATATTCCCTTCTTTGAAAATAGGTATAACAAAAGTAAATAATTAATTCTTTGGATATACAATAAAGAAGGGAATATTCCCTTCTTTGAATATATAAAAGAAAACATCATTAATTCGCTAAATATATGATAAAGGAGGGAATATTCCCTTCTTTGAAAATATAAGAAAAGGAAATAATTAATTCTTTGGATAAACGATAAAGAAGGGAATATTCCCTTCTTTTAATATATAAGGAAAATATATAATCAATAGTTTTTCGCAAGGGTTTCGGGGTAATGACCATTTGGGATAATAACGAGTAGAATAATGTTATAAATTTGTAATCGGTAGTTCAACATTCCATGCACCGATTTTTTAATCCATCACGAGAAATTCTTCAACTCAGGTCGAACAATTCTTCGATAAGGTTTAACAGTTTCCGACTGGTTGAATTGGATTGCATAATAGACCCTTTGACTTATTAAAAGATGAACGAAGTGCTCGAAAACTTGAAGGTTGTCATTTTATAAAGAGCTAAAAAATGGTTTAGAATTGATAAATACATAGTTCCATAAAAGTAAACATAGTGTATTATCAATAGTAAAAAAAAAGAAAAGTGAAAATTACTAATTTCATCATCTTTTCTGGGGAATGGTACATGCTGGGGAATGGTACATGCTGGGGAATGGTACATGCTGGGGAATGCTTTTCTGGGGAATGGTACATTCTGGGGAATTGTGCATTCTGGGGAATGTTATAGAACCGGATTACACCGATTACACCGATTTCTGGAGGTTGACCTTTACATTTTGTTTTAACAAAAGTCAAACTATTGGGCCGTATGAATAAAAAGAGTTTACTTTACTTTCCCGTAAGAAAAGTAAAGTAAACGCTTTTATTCATACGACCTACTGTCTTTATTCGACACACATTAATATGTTTATTGTGGTATTGTTCGGAACAAGTAGTTAACCAGCGAAGATTTGCAGATTCGGAGAAATGGTACATTCGGGGAATTTATTTTCGGGGAACTGTTCCATTCGGGGAATTGTATTTCGGGGAAAAGTCGTACAATCAGACTAACACCTACAATACCCAACAATCAATTTGGGTTTATTAAAGGCTGAATATGCTAGTTTTTAGCTTAATTAGTATATTTTCGCCCGAATAAGCTCTTATTCTGCTTCCAATGTTTGTTGGGTAGGTCACTGGAAAAATCATTCTATTTGTTTTTTTGTTGTAACACTGCACAGTGGTCCAGAATGCAGATAGGTGGAATGATATGTTTTGAGCCTGAAATTGAAACTTTAGACTAAAAGTCTTTTCTACAAAGTTGTTCCTTATAGTTAGGCCCTCATTTTTATGACAATGAATGCTAGGGTGGTTCCTATTATCATTAAAATCAAAAATCTAACTTTTTTGTTTGAATAAGTTAAGGTATACATTCTTCGGCAAAGTTATAGCTGAGCAAATTTCAAGCAACTTTGTCGAAAACAACTTTTTTGTATCTCTTAAATTGGCCGATTTAGAGCTATTTTCTTGAATTAAGTTAGGGTGGCTCTTAAAAAAACAGTTTTTTTTGCTCTAGTTTTCTTATTTAGAATTTCTCAGCAAAGGTGTTTTCAAATAGCTTTTAGATCTTAAGAAGGCGCAAATTTTTGCTGCACAAAGTTTGTCAATATCTTTCGCCGATCAAGAGTTATTGACGTTTTTATACTAAAAATATGAACTTTTCAAATATTAATATCTCTGGTTGGGGCAAACAAAAAAAAAGTTTTTTTTACGGCATTTGAAAGGGCGTATGTTATGCTCAATAATATGAAAAAATTGGAGGTATGTTATTTTTTAAACTCGTATAAAATCAATTTGAATTTGTTCATATTTTTTACTATATTTGGGTATATCTTTTTTATTAGAAGAGATGCAGGCAACAAATTCAGCTATAAAACATTCGTCTTAAAGAGTTTTAAAAGTCTCTGTAAGATGACTTTCATGATAAATTTCAAATAAAAAAGTTATTGGCAAAAGATGGATTTCATAGGACCACTCTAATGACAAATTTATATAAAATGTGCTAGTACATTTGTTTCAATATTTGGACATTAAGTGTCTTCGAAGAAGTTATTGTTCTTAAAAATTCCCTTCTTTTGGTGTTTGCAAACGTCAGGGTGGTCCTCAAATTAGGGAATTTTTAAAACTAACTTTTTTGTTTTACAAAATAAAAACATGTAATGTTTGAAAATGTTGTAGCTAAGATAATTGCAAGCAACTTTGTCGAAGAAATTTTTTTCTTCATATCTCTTAACGTTCTCATTTTAGAGTAATTTTTCGGAGTTGACTTAGGGTGTTCCTGGAAAAAAAAATAGTTTTTTAGCAATAACTTTTTTATTTGAAATTTCTCATGAAAGTTATCTGCTAGAGAATTTTAAAACTCTTTAAGACGAATGTTTTATAGCGGAATTTGTTGCCTGTATCTCTTCTAATAAAAAAGATATACCCAAATATAGTAAAAAATATGAATAAATTCAAATTGATTTTATACGAGTTTCAAAAATAACATACCTCCAATTTTATCATATTATTGAGAATAACATACGCCCTTTCAAATGCCGTAAAAAAGCTTTTTTTTTTGCCCCAACCAGAGATATTAACATTTGAAAAGTGCATATTTTTAGTATAAAAACGTCAATAACTCTTGATCGGCGAAAGATATTGACAAACTTTGAGCAGCAAAAATTTGCGCCTTCTTAAGATCTAAAAGTTATTTAAAGACACCTTTGCTGAGAAATTGTAAATAAGAAAACTAGAGCAAAAAAACTGTTTTTTTAAGAGCCACCCTAACTCAATTCAAGAAAATAGCTCTAAATCAGCCAATTCAAGAGATACAAAAAAGTTGTTTTCGACAAAGTTGCTTGAAATTTGCTCAACTATAAGAATGTATACCTTAATTTATTCAAACAAAAAAGTTAGATTTTTGATTTTAATGATAATAGGAACCACCCTAGAATTCATTGTCATAAAAATGAGGAACTATAATAACAACTTATAATAATAAACTATAAGGAACAACTTTGTAGAAGAGACTTTTAGTCTAAAGTTTCAAAGGCTCAAAACATATCATTCTCAAAAGGCTCAAAACATATCATTCCACCTAAATCTGCATTCTGGACCACTGTGCACTGGTTTATCGAAAAACTCTTCTTAGAAAAAATATTTTTTTTTTTTATTAGAACATTGCGAAGTGATTTCAATACTCTCCACTATAAAGATGTTTGTCTTCACATTTTGACTGTCCGTTTATCTCTGCTGAATTCGAATTCGCCAGTCTGTATTTACTATATCGTCTGTTTACGAATTAGGTCCCCCTAATTCGTTAATGCTTTAAAGTTAATATTTATTCCAGACCTATAATTTACCATCGTACTCTTCAAGTAACTCATGCCCGGTAGGTGTACAGTTTTACACTATTGATTCTGCAAACATTGAACCATCGATGACCACACAAGGAACCTGTTACGTACCGACATACTCTGTATACCCATATGGGACAGTTGTAGCACCTGCGCCATCAGGTGGAATTGTGGTACCTCCATCAGATTTGGTGATACATGAAAATCTACCAACCAATCGGACGGACACTATTTCTGAAAATCATGTTCCATATGACACCAATTATCCAGCTATGATGTATGGTGCTCCTCAATCTCCACAGGTAAGAAACTTATAATATAGTATTCATAGGTACAAGGATACGCGATGGCTGACTCGGATGTTTCTTAGAATCTATGGCCGTATAGCTCCGGTAATCTGACAGTTTTTAATCCGCTAATTTGCACCCCGCGCAAACAAAAATTGTTCAAACGTCAATTAGCTCATGAAACGGAGTAAAGCGAAATGGAACATTGTGAAACGGAACGCATAATCAAAACAAAACAGTAAATAAGGCTACCAGAAACACAAATTTTCTTATGTTCATAGGACTACTAGAGGTTCAACATAAAAATGAACCTCGTTAATATGAATGAAGTGTCGTTCAGATTAGCGGGTCCACCGATCTGTTATTGTTGCTCACCAACACCACTCGTAAAACAAAATGGGAATTAAAAATAATTTGAATAAAAGCGATAGTAAAGATCGCCCAATCCTACATTGAGCACGAACCCGAAAAACTTTGGTGAACCGCGCGGGTTCATAAACCACGGGTTTTTTCGCATAGCTCATGTAAGTACAGTCGTACCTCGATATAAAGCAACGTTACGTTATATCGAGTTACGTTATATCGAAGCAATTTTTTTTTTATATCGAAAATTGTTTATTGTAACCCAAAGATGACCCAATTTTTTTCTAGTCATCTAACAGGTTTACAAAACCTTTCTTATATAATTTTCCACAATTTTATTAGATAAGTTCTCAAGGCTTACATGAAAGATATGAAAATGAAAAAAAAGTACTAGAGTCTGTGTCTAGGGGCACGAACGGAAGGTTGATGTAGGACCGCGATTGGTCGGTACACTTTTTTTTGTGCTTAGTTCTTTTAGTTGTTTAAAATATATATCCTTAAAACTCTTTAAATATTTAAAATGGTGCCATTTGTGTGAAAATGGAATCGATACCAACAGTAAATCAACTGCGGCACCGGTGGTGTAGTAGTAAACGTGATTGCCTCTCACCCCAAAAGGCCTGGGCTTCAATTCCAGTCGGTGCCTGTGGGGTATTTTTGAGGCATAAAATCTCTGATCACGCCTTCCTTCGGAAGGGAAGTAAAGCCGTTGGTTCCCGGTCCATGAGTTGATGGGTCAATAGGGTAGGGTCCAGGTGTGGGAGCTGGCTCCCTGGCGTCGGTAGCACTGGTATTCAATACGGAAAACAAGATCGACGGAAAACAAATGAAGGAAAAAAAAGTAAATCAACTTTTTAGTACAACCGCTGCATTGTTTTAATATTACCGATGAGTTTTCTACCGGGGTCTCATAGCCTAGTCAGTAAAGGCACGGCATTACCAAGCCAGAGGCGGTGGGTTCGATTCCCGGTCCGGTCGAGGGAATCTTTCGGGTTGAAAATTTTCTGGACTTCCTTGGGCATAGAGTATCATTGTGCTTGCCACACAATATACAAATTCATGCATTGGTAATGCATTGAGGCGAATCTAGGTGCCTAATGCAACGTGCCACACAAGGAAGAAGTGTTAGTTTGTGATGTCCTCCCGCACGGAATATAGATTCAAATATAGATTCATCATTAGAATATAGAGAATATAGATTCATCCCATCCATTCGCGATTCTGATTAGTACGCGACATATTCATATTTTATTTGTTAAATTTCTTAATTGTTCAATTGTTCTATTTTCACTATTTGTACTACACATACATAAAAAAACTACAAGGGACAGCCCTATGGGGTTGTACGCAATGGTGACGTAGAACTACGTGGTCATATATGAAAAATGTTATTTGTTAACTGCAGAAGGAGCTTTTTACCAAATTTATGGTGGTCCAGAAAAGGACCGTTTTGTCGTGATGATTGAGTAATGCTGAGCTACTATTAGGGTGTACAACATCGATGAAGCTGACAAGCTGTATGTTGTTTGGAACGAGGTTGACGCGCTTGGCATAGATGGCCCACAGCGGCTCACGACGCGCAACTGAATCCGATCAGTAGCGGTGCGGCTTCTTCCTCTTTCTTCGGTGAATCCAGGGCTCTTGTGGGTAGCCTTGATAGCTAGTTGCTTTCATTATGTACTGGAAAACGCCACGCGCCGAAAACACTGCTGCTGCTCGATCGGTGATAATTTTGATCGCCATCGCAAGAGTTGCACATTTGTGCAATTTTCAATAGTGACCTTTTGTAAATTGATAGTCTTATTCTCATTTGTAGAAAAATTTCCAATCGATTGGCGTTTACGAATTAAAATCCATCATCTCTGGATCAAAATCAAACCCCTTTCATGCCGCAACCAACTTTGGTTTTTGTAATTGGACCCCCAATGTTGTCTTAAAAATACATGGTATGTTAGATTGAAACTTATGGGAACTGATATCCGATTAATGACCTTGAGAAATGTCCAGAAAATACTCTTTAACAAATTTATGGTGGTCCTGAAAAGAAACGTTTTTTTGTCGTAATGGTGCAGTAATGCTGAGCTACTATTAGGGTGTTCAATATAGATAAAGCTGGCGAGCTGTATGTTGTTTGGAACGAGGGCGATGCACTTGACATAGATGTCCCACTGTGGCGCACGACGTGCAATTGAATCCGATCAGTAGCGGTGCGGTTTCGTCTTCTTTCTTCGTAGAATCGAGAGCATGCAGCTAGCTGCATACGGGCAGGCTTTAATTATGTACTGGAGAACGCCAAGCGCCGAAATCACTGCTGCTGCTGCTGATGACGACTGAACACCACCACTAACCACACGCAGTGATTGCATAAACACCGTTTGGCAAGACCGGAGTGAAATCAATTTTTAAATCTGTGTTAGGGATAGCGCTTGGTGATAATTTAAATTATGATAGCAACAATTGCACATTCGTGCAATTTTCAATAGTGACCTATTGATAATTGATAAAGTGTTCATTTGTAGATGGCTGTCCAATCGATTGGCTTCTTTAGAATTAAAATCCATCCGATATGGACAGAGTTATAACTGTTCAAAACCTTACATAATTTTGTTACTTGTTCCATTTTGGGTTTTCACAAAGTGTAGAAATCACAGACGTAGTCCTACATCAAAATTGCTGGATGTTTTCTCCGTCGAATGAAATATTTCTCAGCATTGGTTTATTTCTCAATTTATACACTTTTCGTTGCATGCCTCCCATTTGCACATTTCCTATTTCGTAATGTGATTCCCAATATAGTAAAGAAAGACAGCCATACGTCAAAAGCATAGTCAATGGAAATAAACGTAATGTTACTACTACTTCTGGTTCATTGGAGGCATTTGCTCACAAATGCGTCGGTCCTTGTTTAACTACCGACGAGCATAGAGGTAACACTAGAGTTGCACATTTGTGCAATTTTCAATAGTGACCTTTTGTAAATTGATAGTCTTATTCTCATTTGTAGAAAAATTTCCAATCGATTGGCGTTTACGAATTAAAATCCATCATCTCTGGATCAAAATCAAACCCCTTTCATGCCGCAACCAACTTTGGTTTTTGTAATTGGACCCCCAATGTTGTCTTAAAAATACATGGTATGTTAGATTGAAACTTATGGGAACTGATATCCGATTAATGACCTTGAGAAATGTCCAGAAAATACTCTTTAACAAATTTATGGTGGTCCTGAAAAGAAACGTTTTTTTGTCGTAATGGTGCAGTAATGCTGAGCTACTATTAGGGTGTTCAATATAGATAAAGCTGGCGAGCTGTATGTTGTTTGGAACGAGGGCGATGCACTTGACATAGATGTCCCACTGTGGCGCACGACGTGCAATTGAATCCGATCAGTAGCGGTGCGGTTTCGTCTTCTTTCTTCGTAGAATCGAGAGCATGCAGCTAGCTGCATACGGGCAGGCTTTAATTATGTACTGGAGAACGCCAAGCGCCGAAATCACTGCTGCTGCTGCTGATGACGACTGAACACCACCACTAACCACACGCAGTGATTGCATAAACACCGTTTGGCAAGACCGGAGTGAAATCAATTTTTAAATCTGTGTTAGGGATAGCGCTTGGTGATAATTTAAATTATGATAGCAACAATTGCACATTCGTGCAATTTTCAATAGTGACCTATTGATAATTGATAAAGTGTTCATTTGTAGATGGCTGTCCAATCGATTGGCTTCTTTAGAATTAAAATCCATCCGATATGGACAGAGTTATAACTGTTCAAAACCTTACATAATTTTGTTACTTGTTCCATTTTGGGTTTTCACAAAGTGTAGAAATCACAGACGTAGTCCTACATCAAAATTGCTGGATGTTTTCTCCGTCGAATGAAATATTTCTCAGCATTGGTTTATTTCTCAATTTATACACTTTTCGTTACATGCCTCCCATTTGCACATTTCCTATTTCGTAATGTGATTCCCAATATAGTAAAGAAAGACAGCCATACGTCAAAAGCATAGTCAATGGAAATAAACGTAATGTTACTACTACTTCTGGTTCATTGGAGGCATTTGCTCACAAATGCGTCGGTCCTTGTTTAACTACCTACGAGCATAGAGGTAACACTACGACCAGAAGGTCCCGAAGAAACGTGCTCAACTCTCAGCTCAGCTCAGCTCTGGTACTATCTTCGGTCCCAAGCTAATCGATGCACCCCTCGAAACATAGGAAATTCCACGAACCCCTCATGTTGTCTGTCAAACTATCATAGTGAATCAAAACAAACATAGTGTAGTACTAGGCAAAAAGAATACAAAGAAAACAAACCATCAGTCATTGAGTTGGCTATTCAACCTTGCGTTATATGAAAAATTTAATAATACTATATATAAAATAATTTAAAATGGATTTGTAACGTTAATAATCGATTGTGAGTTGATATTTTTCAATTTTTAGACTTAAAAAACAAGTTACGTTATATCGAGGTGGAAGTTATGTTATATCGAGGTATGACTGTAGTTCTAATTTCTTCTACAAGTTAGTTCTTGAACATTTATCAGTTGAATAAACATCGATAAACATGATGCATAAAATGATATTACGTCATTTACCGGAATCAGTGTTGGCAAAATCATCAATCAAATGACATTATGTTG